AATGTACAGGAGGCCAGTCCTGCGGCCCACTGTGTCCTTGTCTGCCTTTCTATGACCTCAAAATGGAACTCAAGTCCCTCAAACACCTCTGAGGTCCTCTGCCCTCTAGAGACGGGCAGGAAAACAGAGAGCAGCCTCTGTCCCGACTTTTGCTGCTGAAGCGGAGGCAGGGAGGACCTGCAGCGGACGCGGAGCCCACTGCCCTGATCTCAATGTGCATCTCCAGGCCCTTTAGAGAACGACCTCCTGCGTTGGAGGAGCTATTACTTATCGCAGGTTTATGTGTGCTGGGTCCCGAGCTGAACATTTAACATTCATGATCTCATTTCATCCTTATAACAAACCTGGGAGCAAACTTCCATTATTATTTTCTGTTTACAAATAAGGAACCTAAAGCTGAGAGGCTAGGTTACCAACCATCAAGTGGCAGAGCCCAGGGTGGACTCCTAGACTTCCTGAACCCAAAGCCCCTGCTCTTAACCACCAGGCCTCAGTGTCACCTGGGCAGGGAAGGAAGAACCAGAGAGGGAAGGTATTCAGAATCACATCGAAATTCCAAAACACTGAGAGTATTCATCACAAGTGAATAAAACCTCCAAAAAAAGACTCTAAAGCGTTACTGAAGGACATTGAGATGGCTCACAGGACTGAGAAAGAGCCTGGCTCCTGGGTGGGGAAGTTCACCACAGCGAGACACCAAGCTCCCCCAAACACACTTGTAACGACAGACAGGTCGTTACAATGGGCCGGGATCTGGGTGGAGGGGGTTATACTTTCTCTTTAAACACACCTATGAGGCAGGTGTGGACATCATTAGCCCCTTTTCACAGGCCCAGGGAGGGTAAACTCCTTGGCCAGGGTCCCTGGCAAGGAAGGTTTAGAGCTAGGATTCAAGCCGGGGTCATGGCCACCTGTCTGGGACGTTCACATTCACTCAGAGGTGAATAGACATCCTTCCAGGTTTTTCTGGAGACTGTGATCACCCTGAGAGTTCTAAATGCAGGCAGGGAGGCAGCTGGGCCTAGGAGTTGTGGACTACCTGAGGTGCCACCATCGGGACCACGGAGAGGACCCCCTTCCCGTGGATACTCACGGGTGGGGGTATGGCCATCTGATAGGCAGAACTCACTCAGGAAGTATGGCGGCTGCCAGGCAGCCAACCACTGGCATCTTCTGGGCAGGGGAAGCAGCAGTCCCACCTCCCAAAGACGGACCCGGCAGGCTGCAGTGAGCATGTACCCTGCATTCTGCACTGTGGAAATCAGGGTCACATTTCCACTTAAAAAACAACTGGATCTCTAGCTATGGGAGGATTTCTACTCCAGTGCCAGGAATATTAATTAGACACCTGCAAATTCTTTTTGACAAAAGGGATTTTCAGATAACGTCTGCAAGGAGCAGGCGGTGCTGAGGAAACAGCCACTTATCTTGTATAATGGGAAGGCAGAAACAACTGAGGATGCCAGAGGGCGGAGACTAATGAAGTGTCACTCAGTGGAACTGAGGAACAATGGCAGACAAGACACCCCAGCGAGGCCATGCGCCTGTGGGACTGAGAGAGATGGTGGTGGCGGCAGAGCTGGGTCTCAGACTCCGCCAGGCCAGCTCTTGCATCACAAACACCTGAGCACACTGTCCCCTGAGAGCAGTGGCTCTCAGCGAGAGGCAGGAGCATGCGGGTTTATCACAACCGTCCTGGGAGAGCAAGACATTTGCAACAAAGATGACAAAGTGAATGTCCCAAATACACAAAGAGTTGCTACAGATCAATAAGAAAAGTGGACGAAGGATCTGGGGGCTGAAGGGGGAGCTTTTTCAAAGTACACATACCGGCTGGGCATGGTGGCTCATGCCTGTAATCCCAGCACTTTGGGAAGCCGAGGCAGGCAGATCACTTGAGGTCATGAGTTTGAGACCAGCCTGGCCAACACGGTGAAACCCTGTCTCTACTAAAAATGCAAAAAGTTAGCCAGGTGTGGTGGTACATGCCTGTAATCCCAGCTACTTGGGAGGCTGAGGCAGGAGGACTGCTTGAACCCGGGAGGTGGAGGTTGCAGTGAGCCGACATCACACCACTGCACTCCAGCCTGAGTGACAGAGTAAGATCCCATCTCAAAAAACAAAAACAAAAACAAAAACCATAAAAACAACAAAAAACACATACACCTCTCCACACTCAAGAACTTCTGGAACAAGAGAAGAAGACCACAAAACCTTCCCCTGGTGAAATCATGAGGAAAAGAAGAAGAAGATACAACCACACCCAAGCTCGCCTCCTGCTGCTGACAAGGGCTGGGAGCATGCTGGGCGAGACTCGGGCTTGGTGAGGAAGCTGTTAAGGGCCCAGGCTTTGGTGTCAAACAGATCTGGCCCTGGGTTTCAGCTCCATCACCTCCTAGCTGGGTGCAGCGCAGGTCACGTGACCCCCTCAGGCCTTAGTTTTTTTGAACTGCAAAATGGAAGTAAGAGGACGTCCCCCAGAGAACCGCCGTGAGGGTTCTACAGACACACGTAAAGGGTCTAGCGTGGTTCCTCCCATGGTAATGACTTCCTACAATTAAGAATCTTCCACGACAAATCTGGGCTGCGGGGCTGTCTAGCTGGATGTGAGAGCCTTCGCAGGGAGCACTGAGGTTAACGTCCACGAGTGAGGACTTTAGTAGGAGAGGACCTGCCTGTCTGGCTGTGTTCCTGCTTGACCAAACAGGCTTTCATAGTCTTGAATCCCAGGGAGCTCCAATTCGAGATCAGGGCTGTTTGGAAATGTTTGAAAATTCCCGAGAGGGTACTTTCTAGATATCCTAGAAAGGAAGTTTCAGGAGAAGATGGGCTTTGTCTTGTTCATGGCTGTATTCCCATTGCCAAGTACACAGCACACCCTCAGGCTCACCAAAGATTAAACAGGGGACACTTAGGAATGTGATTCTGGAAAGGAACCAGGATGGGGTAGAATCAGGACTCACCACTGATGATTAAGGTCCCCAAATCCCTCCTCTAGAGAGAAGGGGAAGCAGGGGCTCTTCACCGCTGTTATGGTACCCCTCAACTGTCCCCCAGAGCGGCTTCCATGCCCACCCCAGTGCAGGCCCACAAGACGTACCCCAAAGCCCTGACAACATTTGGCACTTCAGTAAATCGAGTTTCCACAGCCGCAGACTGAAGAGCGCTGTTTAATGGACTGCATCTCCGCCCGCTCCCTTTAAATGCACACGCACACAAAAACCAATTTCAAGCACAGAAAGCTGGATGGGATTAAACAACTCAATTTAAAGGACTGAAAACTCAGCTGCTTCCAGTGAAGTCCTGGGGAAGGAACCAATCAGCAAAGTCCTGCTCTTCCTTTTTGTATTGAAATGAGGGCTGTGACTGTGCAGTGAGTCACTCCCAACTCGCAGGCAGAACGGGGCCACGTCCACCTGGGCCTCGCACTGCAGGGGGTGGCGCAGGAAGAGAGGGTGTGTGTGTGTGTGTGCATAGGGGCGGGGGGTAGGCAAGAGATGCCAAGGGCATACTCACAGACCATCTGTTTTGCATTTTTCTGGTAATACAGAAAACCTCAGAGGACCTAAAGGCTGATACCTGCCTGTCCATTTCTCTCTTCAGCCCAGGTTCAGGAAAGCAAATTCAGGCTGCAAGACAGCTGCCTGGGCCCCCCATAAGCCTGGCACCAGCCTAGGGAAGACTGAGGAGCCTCACTCCATGGAGAATGGTGAGCAACAGCCCCCTTCCCAGTCCCCCCACCTAGCCTTGTCCGCTCTGCAGCGTGGGCCGGTCTGTTGATTCATGAGCTGGCTGCCTCATGGAGATACAGCTCTGCCCACAGCTCACAGTGCCTTGGAGCTTAGAAGAGGAAAGTGGGCTGATGCTCAGCTTGGACTGTCAGCATCTGAGATGCCGCCTGTAGGGCTGGTATGGATGGAGGGATGGGATGCTGCCGTGCAATGTGCACGCGCGACTGCAAATCCTGCTGCTTGGCTGGGAGGCAGGGGAACCCCGTAAAGGAACACCACGCAATGGGCATGGCTGAGAATGGTGTGCGGAAAGGTGTGTATGGCTGGGGCAGACTGTCGCCCAGATGACAGGAAGACCCAGGTGCCCCCTCCACCTCCCAGGCCAGCCTCTGTACTACTCTAGCTCTCTCAGAGGGCTCACTCCTGCTGCCTGGGATCTGGGTCAGCCTCTCCCTCTGCACCAGCAGCTCTTGGTGGCCCCAAAAAGGCAAAGCTTAAGGGTCCAATTTCAAACTAGAGGTCATAATGGAGTCCAGTTGAAATGAGTAACACAACCAACACTGAGTGTGCAGCAGGAGCCTGGCCCAGTGCTTAGCATTTTACATGGATCATTTTCCTCTCACATCCCCCTCTGGTTACTGCCCTCACTGAACAGAGGAAAACTGACATGCTGAGATGCGGAGATACTAAGTGTCTTGCCTTTGGGCAGCCTGACCCCAAGCCAAGCTCCCTGCCTGCCCTTTGCTGCCTCCCTCACTGACGCCCTGCCCATGTGCTCCAGAAGGGTCTACAGATGAGTCCTCAGTCCTAAAGTGAGGTTTTTTTTTTTTTTTTTTTTTTTGACAGGGTCTCACTCTGTTGCCAGGCGGGAGTGCAGTGGCACGATCTTGGCTCACTGCAACCTCTGCCTCCTGAGTTCAAGCAATTCTTCTACCTCAACCTCCTGAGCACCTGGGAGTACAGGTGTGCACCACCACGCCTGGTTAATTTTTGTATTTTGAGTAGAGACGAGGTTTCACCACGTTGGCCAGGCTGATCTCGAACTCCTGGCCTCAAGTGATCCACCTGCCTTGGCCTCCCAGAGTGCTGGGATTATAGGTGTGAGCCACTGTGCCTGGCCCCAAAGTGTGTATTAAACACAGCTTTACCTCTAGGAAGGATGCACTGCACCAAAATAAGCATATCTCAGCTCTAAGAGCCCGTCAGTCACTAACAAGGGGAGGCAGGGCAGCCGATGTTCCATAAGGACGGGTGGCGTTGGTGACCTACCTCATCCGATTCATCCGATAGCGTCTGCAGTAGAATGGGAAAGAGGCTGTCCGTGTGCCGGAACATCTGGAGAGCAGAGAAGCAGGGGTGCCTGTGAGTGCTCCCTTCACCCCAGGACTGTGCTCGGTGCAGTGTCCCGCTGGTCTGCACGGACCCGCTGGTTTGCACAGACCACTTCCCTCCCCGACACAACGAGGGCTCCTCGCAGCACCTGTCACTTCTCTGCCAGCCAGGGTTTCCCTAGAAGTGCAATGACCAAAATGCTACCAACCACGGGCAGGCCCTGGAAAACCAAGGCGGACCCGGAAGAGGCCCCTGGCTTGGAGGGGCCCGGGGCTCACCTTCCGAGGAGTTTTGATGTAGAGGTGGTAGAGCCACTTGAGAACTGCAATCCTGGTCATCATCCCAATGGCCGTGTCACTGAGGTGGCAGTTCAGGACCTGCACGATCCCGTCGAGGTGAAGGGTCACTGGGGCTCTTTCAGTGCTGTGGGTAAGACCGGGAGGGAGAGCAGAGGTGACGCCCACCATAGCCCTCTCCCATGGAGTCATGGCACCACCCTGGGCCTGCATATCCTGAACCACACACTGCTAACCCCTGTCCAGGGGGCTCGGGGGTCAGGGATGACCCGATTCCACACATCCTTGCTGGTCTCCCACCAGCAAAGCTCAGCCCACCCGGGGCGTTTGAAGGGGGCTTCTCTCTCTCTCGCTTTCCAAAGGAGTTTGGAGGTTGCTGCTGGGTTGGAACCATGATAACCATGTTTAGGGGATGAGGACCGGACTGCTGGGCTCCCACTCACTTTTCCTTTTCTTTCTCCAGCACCAGCCTGGCTTGTACAGGAGGAGGAACCCTCTCCGAGTCACTGAGCTGACCTGACCAGGCTCAGGGCATTAAGTTCAGACCCTTTCTTGAAAAAAACAAAACCACCAGGTCCAGACTATATGAGGGAAGGTCCCGATAACAACTGTTGACCTCCGCCAGGCCCTTCACCGGCCACCTGAAGGATGTTTCTCGAGTGAGGTCAGGGATCAAGGCTTGTCATTGTGCCTTGTCACTGTACCCTGCCCCAAGGTGTCTAAGAGAGACGCCTTGAGAGGTGAGACCAAAATGTGCTCCTTTGCATTGCGGAAGGGGTGACAGAGCCTCTGCCTATGAGAAACTGATACTGTTCAGGATGTACTTGTGTTCTGGTGGGCACAGGAAGCCCCCTGGCTTCTGTGGACTGAAGCCCTGCAGGTCCCCAAAGTCCTGCTAAGCAGCCTGCGGGACGGCGGGTGCTGCTGGGAGGCTATGAGTTGGTTTTCTGCCCAAAGCACTGCTCCCTGGCACAGGCTGGGTTTTCAAGGTGGGGGCAGCATGGGTAGAAAAACCTCAGGATGTCGGGGAGGGGGTCCCTTCCTACCAAGGCACTGCACTGTACTTCCCAAACGGTGCCGACAGGTGCAGGCCAGGGGCTGCATTTCCTGAGGACCTGGGCCAGCAGATCAGTCCCCTGCTGGTATAAAATGGTCTCTTCTGTGGCACTTCTAGGCTGCTCAATTATTCATTTGCATCAGGAACTGATGGCTGTGCTTTCCTCACTCGCCTGAAGCCTCTCTGAAGCTCATTTGATATGAATCCCTAAAGGGCACGATTCTGCGTTCTGTAATTGCTAAGAGGAATTGCTATTTAATATGGTTTGATGATCCCCATGGTGCACGTTTCAGGGGCGAGAGTGGGCACATCTATCCTCTGGTGGCTGGAAGTTCCCGGTGTCTTCTGAGGATACCGAAACATTTAAATCTTTGCTAGCCTGAGACAGACGGGGACAGTACTGCACAGGTAGAGGAGTCTAGGGTGGTAAACACTGGCTCTGTCAATCTCTTAATTAGTTTCTCTCAAGACCACTGTCCCGGAGAAATACAACGCCAGTCACAGATATAATTTTACATCTTCCAGTTTGCAATTAAAAAGGAGAAAAAAACAGGTGAAGTGAATTTCAATGCTATGTTCTAACTGACCCAGTGTATCTAAAATATTAGCATCTTAACATGTAATCAATATAACGGTCAATATAAATATTCCCAACAAAACATATTCTCTTTTGTGTCCTAAGCCTTTGGGACCTGGTGTGCATTTCACGGTTATGGTGCACCTCGCTTCAGAGTAGCCACCAGGCACTCAGTAGCCACGTGGCTGCCGCAGAGGCCCACATAGCAGTCCACGCCAGGACTTTCTGAGTGTTTTCTTGTCATCTCTGGCAGTTTCCTAGCTACTCCCTTAGCTGATGGCCAGCATTTACTGTTTTATCTCCCAGTCCCTCTTTTTCCTGTCCTGGTTGGCCTCCTGCAGGGCTCCTTCCCTTGCGTTCTGATTCATATACTTCTTGGGCCGGCAGAATCCCCCGGCTAGAGAAGTTCGTCTCGTTGTGTCCTGGTGGAGGAAGAGATGCCTTCCTATAGCCCAAGGCCATATGCAAAGCAGGTGAACAGAAGCTACCCCCACCCCCAACCCGGTCTTTCCTGACCCTGAGAGCCCCAAAGTCTGTAGTGAGCCCCTTTCCAGCAGGAGCCACAGGGACATGTAGGCTGCCAGGGTCCAGGGTGTCACAAGGACCCCAGCCTGGCCCATCACTGCGACAAGCTTAGCTGAAACAGCACCCCCTGGGAGGATGGCCTTGTTTTTCCTTGTTTCCCTGGGAGACCTGGGACTGCCCTGGAGCCGCTGGTGAGGAGGGCGGTGCCGTGACCAGGTCCCCTGCTCCACTGGCATGGGGCAGGATCAGTGGTGTGTCTGAGCCTCTGGAGGAATAACAGCTGTGTTAACAATGGCAGCCATGACGGTTGTGAAAGAACGCTCTGTTAGGTGCTTTCCTACACAGCCTCATGTCACTCCTTAAAAAGCCTGATAACCTAAGGCATGCCACTTCCATTTCAGAGAAGAGGGAACTGAAGCACACAGACATGAAGTCACCTGCCCAAGGTTACACGGCCAGGGAGTGGTGGGGCCGCACTTTGGATCCGATCAGTCTGGCTCCAGAATAATCTCATCTGCCACATGGCACAGCCTCCTGACCAGGGCAGCAGGCTCCAAGAGAGTCCCTGGTGGCATCGCCTCCACTGTCTCCTGGGAGGGGCAGCAGAATGGCAGCTCCTGTGTTGACTAGCCCCTCTAAGCCCAGGGGATACCTGGCAGCTCCAGGTGTCCGTGGAAGATTAGCACACACTTTTCAGCTTATTTTCATGTCAGAAGGGTAGACAGTGGCTCACACCTGAAATACGAGCACTTTGGGAGGCCGAGACAGGAGGATGATTTGAGGTCATGAGTTTGAGAGCAGCCTGGGCAACACAGCAATACCCTGTCTCTATAAAAAATTTAAAAAATTATCTGGGTGTGGTGGCACACTCCTATGGTCCCAGCCACTTGGGAGGCTGAGGTGGGAGGATTACAAGATTCCAGCTGCTGCCAGCTCCCAGCTGTCAGCTCACCTATGTGAGCTATGACTGTGTCACTGTACTCCAGCCTGGATGACAGAGCAAGACCCTGTCCCAAAAAGAAAAAAAAAGAAAAAGAAGGGGAGACAGAGGGAAGCCTGGTGCTCCCCACCTGCGCAGGGCACACTCAGAATCCAAAAGAGCCAAGACGCCAGGCTGGATGGCCCCTCCGCAAGTCGAGCTCCGCGGCTCACAATGGCCTGGAGATGCTGCTGGCCAGCCCATGGGGCCGCTCCTGCAAGTGGTGCTGTGTCAGGGCCAAAGAATGGCAGCATGTCACGGAACTGGTATGTGAACTGGCAGCAGTTCGTGTATTAGCATTCTCCGACTTTCTCCACAGCAAACACCTGAACACAGTAAATCTGAAGGTATGGGGCATCTTCAGGCTGCTGCTGAGGCAGTCCCGCCGCACCCAACCCAGAACCTCATCACTGAAAGGGACCTCACGGTTCAGGTAACACAATCCTTCAAGGCACAGATGAGCAAGCCCAGGTCCAGAGGCAGTACGGGACCCATCTGAGACCATGAGGCCATGTACCAAGCACTCATTCCCTGGGCTGGAGACACTATCCCTGGGCTTTTCCTCCCTTGCCTGGCTGGAGGTGGAGGTCATGGGAAGCAGGTAGACCCTAGAGGACTAGGCAGACTGATCTGAGTGCCTGGGAAAGGGAGGGTCAAGATCCCAGCTGCCGTCAGCTCCCAGCTGCTCTGCTGGGCAGGGTTGGCTGCTGCTGCTGAGCTCTGCGCGTGCTCAGCAGGGCAACTGGGGCTCCGGGACCCTGTACTCTTCCCAGAGGGGGATGCTGAATGACGTGCTCAGTTCCCTAGCTGATGGGCCGGAGCCTGAGAGGTAGCACCCTGCTGTCCTGGCTTACCTTACCCATCAAGAACAGAGGGAGCTCACTCAGTTTAAAAGACATTTCTGCATCAGTTCCAAAAAGTCTAGACGAGTCACTCATGGGGGCTTCTGAGTTATTTCAAGGTGTCTGCAAAATTCCATTTTCATGGAGCATTTTCTCATAAAACATCTTATAATGAACATCTTACACATACACGCACTACAATTTCCAAATGCATGGCGCTGCTGTGGCTATTAAAATATAGATTTACTGAATAAAGCTTCTGATACTACCAATAAATAATAAGAAGTTCCAGTTGTTCTCTCTGGGAGACAGCACTTCATTTCTGTAACGTCTAACTTTTTACGGTGTTCGGGTTACATCTCTAATCAAATCAGAAGAAAGGTAAATCTAAAAATAGAAGAAAGGTAAATCTAAAAATAGAATTGCTTCTGAAATTGAACTTGCTCTTTAAAATACAGATAATTATAATTTTTTTTTTCAATCAGCAGAGGCTAAAAGCTGGGAAATACTGATTTCTAGAACTTTCTGCCTGCTTATTTACACGGCAGCTAGCTACGCTGGGAGAACTGGTGACACTGAAGATATCATGACCCTTGGCAACAGCCTGAGCATCATAGTGGAGGTTGTTCATACAACACTTGTTTGAGAACTCCTAAATCAAATGAGTTAGGGAGGCCGAATGCAAAACTTCTGGAACTCTCCAACTGCAACTAATAAAGTTAAATGCATGGGCTCTGGAGTCAGACAGATCTAGCTTGAATTCCAGCTTGGTTACTAATTAGTTGAGTGACTTTGGGCAAGAAGTTAACCTCTCTGGGTCTGTTTTCTCATTTGTAAGATGGAGATAATAACAAGGTTCCTGTAATAACAATTGTAGCTAAAACGTGTAAAGTGCTTTCTGCGGCCTAGGCACCATGCTATGTTCTTGACACACTTAAAAAGCTTTTAAAAATTATGATTATTGAGACAGGGTCTTGCTCTGTCACCCAGGCAGGAGTGGGGTCTTGCTCTGTCACCCAGGCAGGAGTGCAGTGGTGCAATCACGGCTCACTGCAGCCTGAAGCTCCCGGGCTCAAATGATCCTTCCAGCTCAGCCTCCTGAGTAGCTGGAACTACAGGAATGTGCCACCACACCCAGCTCATTTTTGTATGTTTTGTAGAAACAGGCTTTCACCATGTTGCCCTGGGCTGGTCTCTAACTCCTGGGTTCAAGCAACCAGCCTGCCTTGGCCTCCCAAAGTGCTGGGATTACAGGCGTGAGCCGCCATGCCTGGCTGTTTTTTACATACTTTAACTCGTTGAAGTCCCATATCCCTTTGGGGTCAGTGCTATCATTACACTGAGTTTAAAGATGAGGAAACTGAGGTGGGGGAAATCATGCTACTTGCCCAAGGCCACAGCCAGGCATGCTGGAGTTAGGGCGTGAATCCGGACAGTTGGCTCCACCAGGCAGAGCAGTCACGAGAGAACACACCTGGTGGAGACATTTCTCTCTTAACCCTTTCCTGAGCTGGCAGGCATCCTTCCTCCATCCTGCTTCCTTCACTTTCCACCTCTCCCTGGGGAGTCCAATTTTCCACCTCCCATGTATTTCCCATGCTCTGGAGGGTGGAGGAACCCAGACCTACAGCCATGTCGTCACCCGCTGCTTTTCCAGGTGACATTCTTCTGTGGCTAAGCCTGGGGCCACCAGGGGCTTCTCCAGTATCGCAGGGAGAGGGGAGATGAGGGAGGGGGAAGAGGAAGGCTTCTGCTCTCAGGTTTAGCCAGTTAATTCTCCCTGTGTTTCGGTCCAAGTGAGAAATCTTTTATAAAAAATCTGGGATGCAAGGATTGCTTCCATGGTGATCTTTGAACCCATGAAAGTGAACTCTGAATTTCACGTGGATGTGCATTTTTTTGGTGTGTGTGTGACAGAGTCTCGCTCTGTCACCCAGGCTAGAGTGCAGTGGCGCGATCTCGGCTCACTGAAACCTCCACCTCCCAGGTTCAAGCAATTCTCCTGCTTCAGCCTCGCAAGTAGCTGGGATTACAGATAAGTGCCACCACGCCTGGCTAATTTTTTTTTTTCTTAATTTTTATTTTTAGTAGAGACGGGGTTTCACCACGTTGGTCAGACTGATCTCGAACTCCTGACCTCAGGTGATCCATCTGCCTTGGCCTCACAAAGTGCTGGGATTATAAGCGCGAGCTACAGTGCCCGGCCGTGGATGTGCATTTTTTTTGGAAGAGGGTCCACAGCTTTCATCGGAATCTCCAAGGGTCAATGGCCACTCAGAGACACAGGGCTGCCACCACCATGGCAGTTTCCTGCCAGGCGGGAATGCCTTTCTGCCATGGGAGGAGCTTCCAGTCTGGCCACCACCCTGGGCAGACCTGAACGGCGTGAAACTGGTGGCCTCACGTGGTGCCCTGGGCAAGCGGCACAGCTGAAGAACCACAGGGTGGGTCTGGCTATCTGGCGAGCCTGCACCATCCCACCCGTGTTCAAGCTCAGTCTCACTGTCACCACCAGCTGTGGGAAGAAGGCGGTGGGCTGGGGCCCGGGCATCTTGGCTCTGGTTTTACAACTCTGAAGGCGCCCACCTCTTGAGCACAGCTGGTGATGCTGACTGTGCAGCTGCCACGTGCGGACCTCTGTCACCAGGAGTCAGGCAGCACTAGATCACTTGTTCTTGTTTGGTTTTTTAGGTAGGATGGTTTGGAGTTTAGGTAGGATTTGGCATCGGCTTCTGAATGAGAGGTATAAGCCAAAACCCTGGTTCCAGTCTAGCGATCCCCGGCCTTGGCACAAGAACTGAGGGCTCCTGTAGGCTCATCCCAGCCAACGGTAGCGCAGTCTCCCCAGCGAGGCAGTGGACAGCGGTGCCCCTCTGCAGCCCATGGCTTAAGCCTACCTCTGCCTTCTCACAGACCTCCCCTGACCTCCCCCTCAATCCCCATAGGCCAGATTACAGAGACAAGTCTACAACAGCCTTTTGGCTGCCAGAGGGAGGCTTTTAAATCCCAGATCAGATCCTGCCATTCCCACTGGTGATACTGTCTCCACAGCCTCCAGCGCAAAAGCTAAGCCCTCTGCAGGATACACCAGTCCCCGCGTGTCCGTCCAGACCACTCCCCGAGTTCCATGACCCAGTACCTGAGTCTGCCTCCCTCCTCCTGGGATGCTCAGTCACCTGGAACAGAGCTCTTGACCACCCCACCCACACCTGCTCTTCCTTCCAGCCCTGGTGTGCAAATGACATCAGGATAGCCGGGGTCTGGCTCACACAAAATTTCTAGAAGGCAGTCTTTCCCTCATCTCTCTCCTGCCTACCCCATCCCACCCAGTAGTGAATTCTGCAGTTCCACCTTCAACACGGAGCCCAAACCCACCCAACTTTCTCCACATGCTGCTCCTCCCCAGCCTGAGCCCCCATCCCCTCTGATGGGGACAATGGCGACAGCTCCCTAGCAGGTCTGCATCCACCAGGCCCCTCCTAGATCCACTGTCCACAGAGCAGCCCCCTGTGCTTCCCTCCCTTCTCATCCCTACCATGAAACTACTGACCCCACGGGACTCAGACAAAGCTAAAGGATCCGATATGAAGGTTTAGCACTGCACTGGGGCCCTGGAAGCCTGGCTGCGTTGACTGGCATTAGCTGTTATTCCCAGCCAGTCTTCTCAGTGCCTGGGCTCAGGCACCATGGCCCTCCCTTTCCGGTAACTTCACCCCTCACATCAGTCGCTCCCCTTTCCAGTAACTTCCTGGCTGCTTCTCTGCCTCACCACTAGAGTAAATGAATGAAGGTCAGGGACACACTCAGGGGCCAGCTCTTATCTTGGAGCCTGCAGGGGTGAGCACAGGCAGGTGCACTGGAACGCGTGACAACGTGAACACGAGAGAATGGTGACATTCACTGATCTGTTCCATCCATGCAGGGGCTCATAGGGGCACATTTCATCACCAGCTGCACCTGCATGCTTGGAAAACATGCTCAGGGTGCCGAGGGATGAGGATAAGTTCACAAATGGTATCGACGAGGGAAGAACCCTAGCTAGGGGTCTGTGGGGAGAAGCTCTTGGGGGAGAGTGCACCTTTTCTCTTCATGAGTGACTGGCTTTCCCAGGGCCCAGGTTCACCGTCAAGTTCAGGGGAAAGAAACCCCTATATAAGACCCACCATCCACTCTAGCCCCAGAGATGCCAATGTCACCCAAAGAAAAAGTGACATGGGGCAAGTCCAGGGGACTAAGACCAGGGCGGAACTGTGACAGTGCCTTCCCCGGGGAGTCCCTTCACCTTGCAGGGAGTATGGAGGGAGCTGCAAGGAAGAGTTATTTTGCTGCCTGGCCTGCACTGCCCCCATGTGGAAGACTGCGCCATTACAGCTGACCTGGGCGCACAGGGACAACAGCTCCTGGGGCCTGTGATTTATCCTTAATCTTGGATGTGATTAATGACGGCCCATGCTCCAGGCTGTCCTTGAACAGACTTTCCCTTGTCAGTCTTGTTGGCCCCACAGCATCCTGGACAAACAGACGGTGCTGAGTCAAGGCAACTGTAAGTGTCTCACTGCAGTCACCGGTATTAGCTGTACTTTTATTATTACAACTTGCGTTTCTTGTGTTTATTGACCTCCAATAGCTTACATTTTTTTTAATATTTAAAAATAAGTAAGAACAATCCATTTTCTTTCATTCTTTCATTCTTTTTTTTTTTTTTTTTCCAGACATGGTCTCATTCTTATCCAGGATAGAGTACAGTGGTGTGATCTCAGATCACTTCAACCTCTGCCCTGCTCTGGCTCAAGTGATCCTCCCACCTCAGCCTCCCCAACTAGCTGGAACCACAGGCACACACCACCATGCCCAGCTAATTTTTTGTATTTTCAGTAAAAACAGGGTCTCGCCATATTGCCCAGACTGGTCTTGAACTCCCGAGCTCAAGCGATCTGCCTACCTTGGCCTCCCGAAGTGCTGGGATTAGAGGCGTAAGCCATCACGCCTGGCCCCCAATGGCTTCTAATCCACCTTATCTATCCATCAAGCCTGGGTGGGGTGGGCTTGCTCAGTGTCCTTCAGATTCCCTCATCAATTAACTTTTTTGTGTACGAGGGTGTCCCAAAAGCAGCAGCCGTGAGTAGGGTTTGCCTTGGGCCATTGCTGTAGTCTCCTGCATCCAGGAAAGATCTAGGTCACTTGCTTTCCACAAACTCTCTGGCTGAAACAAGCCACTTACCTGGCTGCAGTGAAGACACTGATGCTGCTACTGAAGCTGGAGTCACAGGAACCATCCGGACCTCCTGGGAGAGGAAGAGGAACGAGGGGTCATGAAAGGCTGTCGGGTCTCTTGAATAAACAAGACCCCTGTGACAAGCACACACAGAACTCTCCAGAGCCCCATACCTTGATTCAGGCTCTTCAAAAGGACCATGGCTCTGGAGCCCTGAGAACCCAATGCCCAGTCATTCTCGATAGTCCCCAAGCTTGTAAGATTGTAGTCACAGTGATCTCACAAGGAGGGGACACCAGTGCTGAACACATCTGGCAAATCTCAGAAATGACAGATACCCAGTGTCCTTAGCTATCAGGAAAAGGCAAATCAAAACCACAAGATACTACTGTACACCCATCAGGATGGCTAAAAGACAGACAATAGCAAGTGTTGATGAGGATGTGGAGAAACTGGAACCCTCGTACATCGCTGGTGGGAATGTAAAGTGGTGCAAACTGCTTTGGAGAACAGTCTGGCCATTCCTCCAAAGGCTAAACATAGAGTCACCACATGACTCAACAGCTCCACTCCTATGTATATACCAAAGAGAAATGAAAACTTATGGCCACATGAAACCTTGTACATCAATCATGTTCACATCAGCATTATCTACAATAGCCGAAAAGTAGAAGCAACCCAAATGTCTATCAACAGATGGATGGATAAATGTGTGGTACAGCCATACAATGGACTATTATTTGGCAATAAAAAGGGATGAAGTACTGATGTATGCCATAACATGAATGAACTTTAAAAACATTGTGTTAAGTGAAAGAAGCCAATCATAAAAGACTACATATTGCACGATTCCCTTTCTCGAAAGTGTTTAGAACAGGCAACAGAAAGTGGACTGGAGGTTGCCTAGGACTGGAGGAGATGGGGGAACAGGGTATAATGGCTAAGGGATTCTTTCAAGGGCACGGAAAATATTCTAAAATTGATTGTGGTGACGGTTACATAACCCTGTGAATCTACAAAAGTCACTGAATTGTATACTTGATGTTGGGTGAATTGTGTGGTACATGAATTCTCTCTCAATAAAGGGCTTAAAAAATGACTTTGGGGGAAAGGACTGTGACAGTACTGTGTCTGTGCCTGAGTCTTCCTCCAAGTGGCCAACTCAATACCTGTCATTAGTATTTAACTTACCGTCATATAACCCAGGGTAGAAAAGCATCTACCTGGCATTGACTACTTATATTTCTAAGTTAAGGAATAACCTTTAAATGCCAACCTTTTTCTTTTGGCATCTAATCAAGTTTCTTAAAGAGCCAATATGTTCTAGATCTGGAAAGCTGCTGGTAGGGTCCTGTTCCGCCTTCAGCCCCCATCTAGGCACTGGCCACAGCTCTCACTGCACTGAGGAGGGAAGAGGGGGCTGGTAGTCCTGCAGTTCCAGACTCCTGATACTATTTTGTAGTTGTGAAATAATTTTAGATGTACAAAAAAGTTGCAAAAAGAGTAAAGAATTCTTTTTATACCTTTCAGCTAGCTGTCCCTAATGCTAACATTTTACATACTCATAGTTCAATTATCTTTTTTTTTTTTTTTTTTTTGAGATAGAGTCTCGGTTGCCCAGGCTGCAGTGTAGCGGCAAGACGTTGGCTCGCTGCAATCTTTGCCTCCTGCGCTCAAGAGATTGCGCCTACCTCGGCTTCCAGGGTAGCTGGGACTGTAGGCACGCAGCATCAAGCCCGGATAATTTTTTTTTGTATTTTCAGTAGAGATGGGGTTTTGCCATGTTACCCAGGCTGGTTTCAAACTCCTGGGCTCAAGTGATCCACCCACCTCAGCCTCCCAAAGTGCTGGGATTACAGGCGTGAGCCACTGCGCCTGGCCTCATAGTTCAATGATCAAAACCAGAAGATTAACATCGATACAATACCATTAACTAAACAATTACTCTAAGTTGAACATCACGAGTTTTTCCATTCCTGGCCTTTTGTTCCTGGATCTCACACTGCATTTAGCTAAACTGTCTTCTTCGTCTCCTCCAATCTGTGACAGTCCCTCAATCTGTGTGTCTTTCATAAACTTGACACTTTTGAAGCACTGGTCACTCTGCAGAATGTCTCTCCGTTTGGGTTGGTCTCACGTTTTCTCATGAGTAGGGAGTTGCGCATCTTTGGAGGGATGTCACGGAAGTTCCGTGCCTCAGTGCACCCTATCGGGGGCACGTGTTGTCTGTTAGCCTCGTTACTGGTGATGTTAACCTCATTGCCTGATGCAGACTGCTGCGTTTCTCCCCTGTAAGGTTACTGTTTTTCTGTTTGTAATTAATAAACATCTTGGGGGAAAATACTTGAGATTAGACAAATATTCTGTTTTCCCTCAAACATGTCCCCAGTGACTGACCGCAGCACTCAGGGCTGGAGCTTGCCTATTACAAATATGACGGCGGAATTTGCCTGATGGTGATTTCTGTCGTCCTTTTTCCTACATTACTGACTGGAATTTTCTTTTTCTCTTTCTCCCCCTCTCCCCTCCCTCCCTTTTTTTTTTTTTTTTTTTTTTTTTTGACACAGTTTGACTCTGTCACCCAGGATGAAGTGTAATGGCATGATCTTGGCTCACTGCAACCTTCGCCTCCTGGGTTCAAATGATTCTCATGCCTCAGCCTCCCAAGTAGCTGAGATTACAATCGCGCGCCACCATGCCCGGCTAATTTTTTTTTTGTATTATTAGTAGAGACTGGGTTTCACCATGTTGGCCAGGATGGTGTCAAACTCCTGACCTCAAGTGATCCACCCACCTCGGCCTCTGAAAGTGATGGGATTACAGGCGTGAGCCACCATGCCCAGCGTATTGACTGACGTTTTCTGTAAGGAACAGCTGTCCCTTCTCCATCACTAATTAATTCAATTATTTATGTCATTATGGACTCCCGGATATTGATGTTATTCTGTGGATTATAAATCAAAACGATCATTATTTATATTATTGTTCTAATGACACCAGGCTTGGCCTCTTAAAAGTTTTAAATTATACAAGTAAAATATATCCTCATTCTAAAATTTTCAAACACAAAGCAAAACCTCTTTCTGTCCTTAATCTTTAATCTTACTTTTCTCTACCTACAGGTCACTGCTCCCCGGGGTAGGCAAGTCTCCTGTGCTGGCTTGTGCTGTCCTACTTCTTATTTTGTAAACATAAATGGGATGACAGTGTATTTTCTGCAACTTGTAGTTTTCACTCTGTCCTATGGCTTAGAGCAGTGCTATTCGAGGTGCGGGCCACAGACCTTTTCTCCTAGTAAAGGGGGCCTTTATTTCCATGTCCATACTGCCGCCTGTCCCCTGTAGACCCAGGATGCAGCTCAGAGGGGACAAGGGCAGCCGTGGCAGGGGACTGGACCCGCTGAGATGCTCGTCCTCCTAGTGCCAAGGCCCAGGCAGCCTGGGGTCTGTCTGCTAGACCAGGGCCTGGGGAAAGGTGAGGAAAAGCTGGGGAAAGCTGGGGAGGATAGACTGGAACAGTAGCCACGACTCCACGCCCCTGGAGGGCATCTTTTAGAAATATCCACATTTATAGATGAAATAATGTGGCATCAGAAATTGGCCTCAAATTAATTTCGATTGTCTCCTGATTTTCACTCTTACATCTCTCCTGTGCTTCCATGCAGGGTGGGACTCCTGAGGGGAGGGATGGGCACTTCTTATTTTAATAGGTATTATCCTATAGGAAGGTTCTACCAATGTATATGTATTTCCAAATCGGAAGAGCAGTCACCTCTTCTAAAGCCTCACACAGGAATATTAGTATCTTTTTTTTTTTTTTTTTTTTTGAGACGGAGTCTCGCTCTGTCGCCAGGCTGGAGTGCAGTGGCGCCATCTCAGCTCACTGCAACCTCCACCTCGTGAGTTCAAGTAATTCTCCTGCCTCAGCCTCCCGAGTAGCTGGGACTACATGCACCCGCCACTATGCCTGGCTAATTTTTTGTATTTTTAGTAGAGACGGAGTTTCACCATATTGGCCAGGATGGTCCCGATCTCCTGACCTCATGACCCACCCACCTCGGCCTCCCAAAGTGATTGGTAATCTTTTACGTTTGCCAACTGGATGAGTAAAAAAGATACCTTTCTTTTCTTTTCTTTCTTTTTTTTTTTTGAGACGGAGTCTCACTCTGTTGCCCAGACTGGAGTGCAGTGGTGTGATCTTGGCTCACTGCAACCTTCGCCCTCCGAGTTCAAGCGATTCTCCTGCCTCAGCCTCCCGAGTAGCTGGCATCATAGGTGCCTGCCACCGCGCCCAGCTAATTTTTTGTATTTTTTGTATTTTTTAGTAGAGACGGGGTTTCACCATCTTGGCCAGGCTGGTCTTGAACTCCTGACCTTGTGATCCACCTACCTCGGCCTCCCAAAGTGCTGGGATTACAGTGTGAGCCACTGCGCCTGGCTGATACCTTGCTTTTCTTTGCAATTCTCTAATTCCCACTCAAACGGAGCATCTTTTGTTGCCCTTATGTATGAATTCCCTCCTCAGAGAACTGCAGCCTAACACGGTGCTTGTGGGGAGAGACTCTGCAGCCTTTTGGCCTGGGTTTGGGCCCTAACTCCCCCTACCTTCTAGCTGTCTGACCTTGGGCAAGTCACTTGACTTTGCTTCCCTTTCTTCACCTGCACAAAGGGGTAATGACAGTACCTATGCCGTAAGCTTGCTATGACAATGAAAGAGCTAACGTTTGTTAGGTGTTTAAAATAACACCCGCCATATCGTAAGAGCCACGGTAGCATTTTTATTTTGTTTTTTAGAAATGGGGTCTCATTCTCTCCGCTCAGGCTACAGTGGCGTGATCATGGCTCACTGCAGCCTCAAGCTCCTGGGCTCAGGAGATCCTCCTGCCTCAGCCTCCCAAGTAGTTGGGACTAAAGGTATGTGCCACCTCGCCCAGCTAATTTTTTAAAATTACTATTTTTGTAGGGACAGGGTCTCTCACTTTGTTGCCCAGGCTGGTCTCGAACTCCTGGCTTTAAGCAATCCTCCTGCCTCAACCTCCCAAAGTATTGGGATTACAGGCATGAGCCGCAGCACCTGGCCCATTTGTTACATAAAAGATTAATGGCCCTGTCATGGACTTTCACGTTTTTCTTCCATTTTTTTCTTCTGACTTAAAGGAGCTCTTTCTTGTGTTTGGATACTAACTCTTTAATGACAAAATACATTGCAAATATATTCTCCTAGTCTGGGTCTTGCCTTGTAACTTTTAACCTTCTTTCAGTTACACCAATTTTGTGTTGTTTTGAGATGGGGTCTCACTATATTGCCCAGGCTGGACTCAAATTCCTAGGCTCAAGGTATCCTTCTGCCTCAGCAACCTGAGTAGCTGGGATTAAAGATACGTACCACCACACCAGCTTCAGCTTTTAATTTAGATATGGGTGTTTCAATCTTTTTTTTTTTGAGACGGAGTCTTCCTCTGTCACCCAGGCTGGAGTGCAGTGGCACAATCTCGGCTCACTGCAAGCTCCGCCTCCCAGGTTCTCGCCATTCTCCTGCCTCAGCCTCCCGAGTAGCTAGGAACATCAGGCGCCCACCATCACGCCCGGCTAATATTTTTGTATTTTTAGTAGAGACGAGGTTTCACCATGTTAGCCAGGATGGTCTCAATCTCCTGACCTTGTGATCCACCCTCCTCGGCCTCCCAAAGTGCTGGGATTACAGGTGTGAGCCACTGCGCCCGGCTGTTTTTTTTTTTTTTTTTTAAATAATTTTTGCTTGTGGTCCTTGTTTAAAAAATTCTACCAGGTTTTTTTATTTTTGAGATGGAATCTTGCTCTGTTGCCCAGGCTGCAATGGTGTGATCTCGGCTCACTGTAGCCTCCACCTTCCAGGTTCAAGCAATTCTCCTGCCTCAGCCTCCCAAGTAGCTGGGACTACAGGCGTGCACCACCATGCCTGGCTAATTTTTTGTTTTAGTAGAGATGGGGTTTCACCATGCAGGCCAGGCTGGTCTCGAACTCCTGACCTCGTGATCTGCCCACGTTGGCCTCCCAAAGTGCTGGGATTACAGGCGTGAGCCACCGTGTCCGGCCCCTAATTTTTGTATTTTTACTAGAGATGGGGTTTCACCATGTTGGCCAGGCTGGTCTCGAACTCTTGACCTCAAAGGATCCGCCTGCCTCGGCCTCCCAAAGTCCTGGGATTACAGGCATGAGTCACCGTGCCCAGCCATAAACATGTATTAAAACAACCACTGAAGCACCTGTTAGTGTTTGTCATGTGCTAAGTGATTTACATGCAAAAATTTTGTCTGAAACACACAACCATAGTATAGATTAGGTATTACCATTGTTACCCTGCTTAACGAATAAGAAATCTGAGGCTTAGAAAGGGCAAGCAGCTGTCTGAGGGGAACAGATATAAAGTCAGCAGGACTCATAGGCAGGTTGTTCAGACCCCAGAATCTCTGCTGCCATTCCTGAGACAACCAGGACACGTCCTAGAGAGGACCAGGCTGGACACGCTAAGTGCCCTAAGAACTCAGAACCAGGGAAAGAGCACTGTGCTGTGGATGGCCCCAAGTGGCAGGCCAAGGCGGAGTCGGAGTAAGTGAAGAGGCACAGATGAGGGGCTGCCTGACTGGAAGTCCTGTGGTTAGAGGAGGAGGGAGAAGATCCAGAGGGTGGGGCAGGGGTGCAAACGTGCACACACACAAAGGTTCTTGCCCAGAGGTGTGCCATGAGGAATGTGGTGCTGTCCCGGATCAGCACAAGTAAACAAGGAAGGCCAGGCAGGAGGTCCTATCTCCAGCCAGGTGGAACAGGGTGGGAACAGAGGGAGCAGAGAGAGAAGAGTGAGCAGGAGAGGCTGTGATGAACCTGTCCCTCACCAGCAAAGCCATCTCTGTCTTGTGGCTGGTGGGGACTTTCTCCTGGGCACCTTGGTAAGAGACTAGTGATTAGTTAGTTACAAGCTAAGCTGGGCTGAGAGTGGATGTAAAGGCCCCAAATTAGCTGTTACCTTCTCTGGGAACTAGTACAAAGTGAGCTTTTCATCTGCTGAAATGCTGTTTATGAGGCAGTAAAATCCAGAGCCAAGAGGCATGAATGTATCCTGGTTAGCGTAATACTCTCCCGGGCAAGCAGCTGTGTGAAAAAATGCTCAGGAAAACCATCTAAAAAGGTAGACATGCTGCATTGGCCAGGAATCGAACCCGGGCCTCCCGCGTGGCAGGCGAGAATTCTACCACTGAACCACCAATGCTCCAGCTGGCAGAGATGTTTTTAGTTGAGGCCACGACCCACAGGATGGAGTGGTTCCTTTCCAGCGGGCTTGACTTCTTGCCACATAAGCAGAAAGGTGGCAGGGGCTGTTGGGTTCTAATTTAAAGGAATAGGCACTGATTTTTTTTTTTTTTCTAAATTCAGATATAATTCATATAAGATTTCACATAACAAAAAATTCACCATTTTCCAGTGTTCAACTAGGTATAGCACATTTACGAAGCTGTGTACCCATCACCTCTATTAAATTCTAGAACATCTCCATCACCCCAAAAAGAAACCAGGCATCTGTGAGTAGCCAGTCCCAATTTTCCTTTTCTTCAAACCCAGGCAACTGTTACTCTACCTTCTGACTATGGATTAAGAGGCACTGTGAACTTCAAAAAGAGCAGAAGGTGAACCTGTGTAAGTTCTATGATCTTAACTATGTATATATACTAAAAACTGGAAAAAATACGTCAAAATTTGAATACTCATTGCCTGTTGGGGATAGTCTTGTTTCTTTGCATTTTTCTCTCCTTTCCAAATTTTCTAAAATGAGAATTAGAAAACAAAAATCAAACACTCATATTTCAGTGAGAGGTCATAAAATATGTATCCCGGAGTCTTCCAGTTTCTCCCAGTAAAAAAGCTCCTCCCTTTGAAGGCCTGCACTAGCTTCTCTCTCCAAGTTAACTTACTTCTCCAAGTTTTCTTTTTCCAGGAGCTGCCAAAAAGCTTGCAGCTACTGCATTGGCCGGGAATCGAACCCGGGCCTCCCGCGTGGCAGGCGAGAATTCTACCACTGAACCACCAATGCTCCAGCTGAGTGCTGTTCTGCCTCCAGCTGTTTTGTTGCTCTAGCTCACAGTTGTGCTGGCACAGCTGTAACCTGACACCTGAGATGGGTCCAGCATGGACAGCTGCTGGATTTTACCAGCCAAACCCACGGGAGGAGGTGGGGCATGCATGCCTGACATTCTGCTCAGCTGTACAAAAGAAAAGTACATGAATGGCAATGGGAGAATTCTCAGCAATTCTTTTGGCTCCTGTGGGCAGGTTCCAGACCTTACTCTGTTATCCTTAAAGATCTGAGTAGGTTATACCTCAGTTTATTCTCTGGCTGCTTTGGCAAAGGAGGACATCACCCCAAAGCTGATCAGTGACCTCTTGGTGAGGACAGAGACCCAAGAAATATGAAAGCATCAGGGTTCCAGATAACATTTGGAGTCAAATTCCAGATGCCAGTCGGCATAAATGTGTTTTTGTTTTGTTTTGTTTTGAGACAGGGTGTTTCTCTGTTGCCTGGGTTGGAACACAGTGGTGTGATCATAGCTCACTGCAACCTCTGCCTCCTGGGCTCCTAGGCTCAAGTGATCCTCCCACTTCAGCCTCCTGAGGAGCTGGGACTATAGGCACGCACCACCACACCCAGCTAATTTCTGTAATTTTTTGTTTTTTAGAGATGGGGTTTTGCCATGTTGCCCAGGCTGGTCTCAAACTCCTGAGTTTATGCAGATTGCCTCAGACTCCCAAAGTACTGGGATTACCCAGCCTAGTCATAAATGCGGTTTCTTATAATGTGGTTTTCTTTACCTTACAGGTAAACAAGAAAATTATGTTAGAGGAGTCTGAAAGGAGAGCAGAGCAATTTCACTTTTTAAAGGCACTTATTTGGGCAATAGAATTTTCAAGTACAGAATCAATCGAAGCTAGAGCTTTCTTAACCCTCCCACCCTGAGAATGACCCGCATGGTAAAGGCAGCCAGGCTTCTGGCTGGCTGGATGTCTACGGCCAAGAATCAAGTGCTGAATCCTGGTACTCCTCCCATGCTTCAAACCTTCCTGCCCCGAAAACTATTTCCTATAGCCGAACACAGGAAAAAGATGAAGGAAAGGCTTCATGGTCTTTGAGGCAGTAAGGGTTAAGATCATCGCTAGAGACAGCCTGCCTGGGTTCCAATCCGGTTCCAGCCTTCATTAGCTGCGTGTGTGTGGCCATGCTGCTCAGCTTCCCTGTGTCCTGTCTGCAGAATGGGGGAGAACCACCGCTGCCACTGCGCTGGGTTGCTGCTACAATTATGTGAGTGACATATTGAATATGTCCTGGTTGCTTAAGTGAGGCTCCAAGGCAAGTCCCATGAATTCTGGCTTCCCGGGCCCCCAACAGGAGGTGAGGGGTAGGGGCGGAGTCTACTCACCACTGGCTGTACCCTCCTGCTTTGTCAGGGCATCGTCAGGGGCGGGCTCTGCCTGCCTCTGCCCGGGTCTCGGCTCATCCGGCTCATCGTCCTCGGGGGTGACCAGCTTCATCAGGCTCTGGTTGCACACGTTGGCCACCTCTTTGATGCCTGAGTCCACTGATGTAAGGAGTGTCATCTGGTTTGGATGCCTGTCCCTCCAAACCTCTTACTGAAATGCGATTCTCAGTGTTGGAGGAGAGGCCTGGTGGGAGTAGTTTGGGTCATGGGGGTGGATCCCTCATGAATGGCTTGGTGCCCTCCCCATGGTACTGAGTGAGTTGGGTGGGTTCTCCCTCTATTATTATTCGTGTGGGGGCTGGTTCTTTCAAAGAGCCTCCCACCCCTCTTGCTCCCGCTCTTGCCATGTGACCTGCTGGCTTCCCCTTCGCCTCTGCCATGACTAAAAGCTTCCTGAGGCCTCACCAGAAGCCAAGCATATGCTGGCACCATGCCTCCTGTACAGTCTGCAGAACCAGGAGCTGAAGGAACCCCTTTTCTTTATAAATTACCCAGCCTCAGGTATTCCTTTATAGCAACACAAAATGAGTTAATATAGAGTGGTCCCAGCCAGAGGTGGCTTCTCTGAACCTGGTATTCCTAGTCTGGAGCTCAGTCGTCTCAGGGCTACATTAGGCACACAGGCTGTCTGAACTGAGTCCCTGCTCTCCTTGCCACGCTGGTGCCCCTGTGAAATGTGCCTATTTCTTCTCTTAGGACCTCTTCCTAAACCCTCCCACCAACAGTATTTCCCCAGCCCAAGGTTGGGCAGTGTGAGCTCAGAGGGTTGGAACTTTGGGGCTCGGAAAAGCTGCTCCAGATCTGCAAGTAACCAGGCAAGGTGTGGGGACAGCCAGCATCAACCCCAGGTCTCCGGCTTTCTCAATCCATGTTTGGCTCCACTTCTTTTTCCCAAGCTGCTAGGGACTATGGAAGTGTGATGGATCCTAAGAGAGCCCCCAGCCCCCAGTGCAGGGTCCCTCAACTTCATAATCCCTTTGGGGCTTCTCTCAATTCTTCTCTCCCAGAGCAAAGGATACTTTTCTTGCGGTCATCATAGGCCAGGCAGGGCAAGACAGCGGTCAGGATCCCAGAGGAGTAGGGCAGCATGACGCGGCCCGCCAGCTGGATGAACTCCCGCATCCAGCACATGGCTGTCAGCTGGATGAGGTCATCTGGAAGGGGAATCAGGGGGTTCAGAGGGGCCAGCACGCGCAACCCGAGTGCTCCCTCCCACTGACCATACACATGGGATGGGGCTGGCGGCCCGTGGAACCCAAGTGCTTGACGGCTTCCAGCCTCGCCAATGCTCTACTGCCCGTGTGCTTTGCCTTCCGAAGGTGGAGACACAGGCTGGGACGGAGCTACAATCCTGTGCTAGACTGTAAGGGCAGTCGCCTCCCTGACCCTCTGCACTGGGACTCTGCTCCTCCTCTCATCAAGAAGTGGAATTAACTTCTCCATCCCTTGAATCTGGGCTGGCCTTGCTTCTTTGGCCAATGGGACGTGGTGGAAGAGATGATGTGGCTGGTTCAAGCCTAGGCCTCAACAGGCCTTGTTCACTTCTACTGTCTGTCTTGGAATCCCACTGATGCCATATGAGCATGCCCAGGCTAGCCTGCTGGATGATGAGACACGTGCTGTCCCCATGATCCCAGCATACCATGAGCCAGACAACTGCCAGACATGAGCGAGGCCACGGTGGCCCATTCACTCCAGCAACCCTAGAGTTAATAGCAGGTACTTGATTGAGCCCAGCCAAGCCTGGCCCAGGTGAGTGGAACCACCCAGGTGACCCACAGACACATGGTAAGTGACTGTTGTTTTAGGGAATGACGTTTTGCGGTGGTTTGATACTCAGCAGAAGTGAACAGATACATAATCCCAAGCTCCAAGCATTTCAAGTCTCAGGGCTAAGGCCAAGTTCACCAGCAAGGAAACCTCCAGATCTTACTCCACAGAGGCCACACACACCAGGTGAAAGGACCTCTGTGCCTCTGTGGTGACAGAACCCAGACCTCCCTCTGAGAGACCTGGCGCTCCACCTCTCCCAGGGCCTGCTGTCACACTGGCTAACACTCTTTCTAGGAATCTCTCCTACCCCCTCACTGAAGCTGAGATGGTGAAAGGTGCTTCTGCGGAGGTGGCAGTGGCAGTGGCAATGGCAGCCGTGGCTGTGGGCCCTCCCCCTACACTCACCCGTGGTCTGGCAGTGGATCACCAGGATGTTGGCCATCTCAGCAAACTTCACACTGGAGGGGTTCTTCTTAATTTCTTTTAAGAATTCTCCAAGAACAACCTCACACCTATAAACAAGAACAGGAAAGTGGAAACAGTGAGAGTCAGCCAGGGCTGGAGAAGCCTCAACTAGCCCCATTTCCGTGCTGGGTCAGCCACCCAGAGGGCAGCTTGGCTTCTGGACTTGTCATGTGATCATTTTCAGATGCTGGGGGTTGATGGGCTCTTGGCTCCTCGAAGCGGGAAGCACAAGAGCCAGGAAAAAGCGCTAACTTCCTGCCCTCCTGCTGCTGGCTGTCTGTGGGCATCAAGTGCACGGGCACAGCCGGGGGTGGCAGCAGGTAGCAGCTTCCTGCCCCTCACTCCACTCACATTTTGCGAATCTCTTTGCCATTGTCGCCCAGGATCTGGAAGAGTCCATCCAGGATCTCCGGCAGGTAATCCAGCAGGTTAATGTCTGGCACCGACTCCAGAACCAGGATCTGACCAGGGGAAGGAAACAGAAAGGGAAGTCACACTAGCTCCAGAACCCTGTCTCCCGCTCACCAAGCCTCTGGGACTGGGCCGTGGGAAGGGGACCCTGCTGAGACCGCATTGCCCTGCAGTGCAGGCATCCCATGGGGGAGGAGGGTGCTGGCAGGGACAGCCAACATTTTTTGTTAAATGTGCAGGAGAATGGTAATTTGACTCTAAGGAAATTCGGATGCCCAGGGGAGAAGGGGATGGATGTGGAAGGACAGACAAGGCTAGAAAAAGTGAGATTGCTGAAAGTAGCACTGCTGGCTTTAAAGAGAAACCCGGGTGTTTTCTGGGACAAGGAAAGAACTGAACCCCCTTCAGAGACAACAAGAACCAGACCCCTTTAGGGCCACCATGGTGGGTTTCGGGGGCAAAGCTGAATAAGGCGTTTTTGAATTATCAGGTGTTAATGGCTGTTCGAGGGAGAGCATGGAGGGTTCCTATAGCCAAAGGACCTGACAAGAGTGTGCTAGCGAGCAGATTTTCCAAACTGGAGGCTGGAGAAACAGTGTCCGGTCAGGCCTTACCCAGGAGATGATGAACTGCCGGGCATACTGGTTGTTGGAGTAAATCCTCTCTCGCAACAAGGGGATGAAGCTCACCAGGTCAAACTTGTTGCTCTCAGTCACAATGTCCTGTGGATCGGAGGAAAGTGAGCTGCCGAGAGCCTGAGACCAGGGCTGCCTGACCTCACTGAATCACTGGCCCAGGGCTGGCTCCAGCACTCAGGCGGCCACCGAGGAAAACGGCAGATTCCGAGCTAGGCCTAAGAGGTCTCTGGAATATTCATCCTGTCCCAGTCCATGGGACATGCAAAATGGGTAGATTGAAAGCAGGAATCAAAGTAGAGAGAACCAAGTGAATGGCAAGACCCTACTCTCTGTGGTCTGGATGGAATGCCCAGGCCCCTGCTCTCAGAGCCAGGGTGGTGTGGAAAGTGACAGGCAAGCTTCTTTGCTTTAGGTGGTGGCAACAAAAGGGGACATTTCAGGTGATGGCACAGTTCTGTATTTGATAGTGGTGATCGAGCTCTATACTCTTGTCATAGAACTGCGCACCAGGGAGTACATGTAAATTTAAAATATATTTTAAATTCAAGAAGAACATTTCCAATGACAGAATTTCTAAGCTGTACAGACAGATGGCAGAAATAGATTATAGAAATAAAAGTGGGGACGAAGTACAAATACCTTTAAAAGGCGGTCTAGGAGCTCAGATCCACTTTTCACATTGGGGTCTGGGTCGGCCGCCAGCTGCAAGAGGCACAGAGAGGGGAGGGACACAGAGGCAAGGGTCACGGTCCGATGCAACACCAGGGATTTCCTGCAAACCCGCAGCCGGGGCCTTGGTGCAGCCCAGAACATCCAGCAGGCCCCCCTCTCAGCGAACACATTTGAGAAGGGCTGGGAAAGTGGGAGTGGGGACAGTGGAGTCGGCCGATGAGCAGATTCAGGAAATACCCTTCTGTTCAGGGACTTCTCCTATGACCCGCTGGGGTTCCTGTTCCCTGTCGTGACTGGGTCACAGGGCCGCTTCCCGTCAGCCTTCCCCAGGGGTTTCCAATCTTAAAGCGCTGGGTCCTTGTTCCACTCCTGGAGGAGGGGACAGGGTAGCTGCGAGGCTGACACTCTAGAAACTTCCATGGCATTCTGCAGGGGCAGCAGCATTGCAGGGCTGCTCTGCACCTGGGAGGAGAACTCCACTACGCTGCGAGAGGCATGGAGGAGAGCATGAGCTTTTTCTGGGGCACTTATGAGCTAGACTAAGCGTGGCCCTCCCTACAGGGGAAGTATGGTCTGGGTGACAGCTTCAGCATCATCTCCTTCTACCAGGGAGGCGAGTGTTTCACAGACTATCAGTTTCTCCCCTCTACTGTGTGACAGACTGATACTTACATCGAATGCCATCAAAATGAATCAAGAGAGAAATGAAAAAAGGTATAAACGCAAATCCATTAAAAACGATTAGATTCAACAAACAATAAGTGTCCCTTGCAGCCACATGCTTGTTTCCTCTGCTTGCATCTGGGAAAAGGGGTCCAGTGTTCCAGAAGGTCAAGTGAAGTGGGTGAACCAAGCACAGCCCAGCAAGGAGGAGGAGGAGGGCGCTTACCTTGCTCAGCCCGTCAAAGAGAACGTTGAAGTGAGGCAGCACAGCGCCCCGGGCCACCTTGACGATGTTGTAGAGGGCCTCGCAGGCATAGTAGCGCAGTCTGCTGTCTGCATCATTGAAGCAGGTCAGCACTGGTTCGATCAGCTCCTTCAGGTAGAGTCCTGAGTCCTGCGAGGGGGCAGGAGGAAGAGAAGTCAGATCAGAATGGGTTGGAGCCCGGGCCCTGCAGCCTGCAGTGCCAGCTGACATCCCACCTCCCTTGGAGGTGCTCAGGCCTTTGTGCCGGAGCTGGGCTCAAAGACCCTTCCCAAGTCTGCTACCCAGGAGAGGGCCCACGCCTAGGGGACCAGGCTGCCAGGCCACAAAGCCAGACTTGCTGGTCTCAGGTGTGGACAGAGTGGTAATAAAACACAGGTCTGCAATGCCCTGCTGGGTCTTGAGAGGGAGGGCATCTGGATGGCTTGGTTAGTGTCAAGGCCGGGACTGGTATGTCTGTTCCTTGAGTGAAAGGCCCACCTTGCCCAGTGCGATGGAGCAGGCGGCCAGGCCGATGAGGCCCCCTTTCCGGCTGTGGGGGTGCTGAGACAGGGCAAACTCCTGGGACAGGGTCTGGATCACATGCTTGATTTGCACGGTATTGTTCTGGGCCACGAACTCCCGGACCAGCCTGGAGAGAGAGGAGAGAGGGGCTGTGGAAATCAGGCTACCTCTGCTGTGGCCTCCAGGGCCTGGGGCTGCAACGAGGAAGGGAGATGACCTGTTTGGAAAGAGGAATTGGGAGATGGGCGTCTCAGGGCAGGTCTCAGTTCTGTTGCTGGCTGAGCCATGGTTGTTTCCCTATTCTGGGTCTCAGTTTCCCTTTGTGTACAATGGAATAAGGAACAGTGGTGCTAGCTCACTTCTGGGAATCTCAGAGAATGCAAATGAATGTGTCATTGGGACCAAAAAAGTACAATGCATCATCAGTTGATCAACTGTCTTTATTCAACACTTACTCAGCTTTCCATCCGTGCATCTCAGAAACCCTCTGCGTCTGAGCGACTATTTCTAGGGACGTTGCTGGGACACAGGCCCCAGTGTAATGGGTAAGATCCACATGCAAACAAATAGTTGTAGCAAAGTGGCGCCAGTGATATCACAGAAGCAAGAAAATGCAATGAGCTGCGTCTCCTCGGGCCGTCCAGGAGGGCTACAGGGAGGTGCCAGTTGAGTCAGATCTTAAAAACAGTAACAGGCACTTTCCAGGTAAAGAAAGGAAAGCAGGGCACCTCGGGCATAGGGAAGAACCAGGCCAAGGCCACGCAAGCTGACATGGCATATCTGGGACGGGACGAGGGTTCCAGCGTGTGGAAGGAGTGGCTAGAGACAGGTAAGGAAACGATGAACTGGTGGAAGTTTTCCAGCAAGGGATGACACGCTCAGCCCCATGTTCCAACTGGACATCTCCCGTGGTGGCTTGGAGAAGCAGGGCTGGGGCAGGCATGGGTTTGACGGGAGACTGATGCTGGGGACGTTCAGGAGAGCACTGTAGCTATGGGGTAAGGAGGTCCTGAAATGTGACTGAGGTAGTCGGAAAGAGCAGCGGGGAATGTTTCTAGAATTAAATGGAAAAGCATTAATAGCTGATATAAGAGGGGAGAGGAGGGTAGGGTAGACGGTGTCCCCAAGATGTCTCCCTGGGCAGTGACGCTGGCGGGGAGAGGAGCAGGTCGGAGGGAGGCTGCCTTTGTGGGAGGGAGCGGCTGCTGGTCACCCAGGGAGGATGACTCCCCAGGCAGGCCCTGCCCTGAGTGATGGAGCTGAGGGAGGCCTGACTCCACGATAGACTAGTCTGTTTTCAGAGCCCCATGGATACGAAGGCCAGGCCTCTGCTCTCCCAAAGCTCACAGCATCTCTGGGGCGACAGGTCTCACATGGCATGTGGTGGCAGGATGCCCCAGATCACTGATGTAGAAGAGGCAGCTAGGGTGGTCAGGGAAGTTTGCCTGGAAATGGGATGGAGCCGGATCTTGAAGGAGGCGGAAGGGAAAGAAACGGGCCTTCCTGACAAAAGGAGCCCTGCTAGCAGAGGTGAGGATGCAGAAGTAGGCACCCTTGTCCGGGGCCCCAGAGAACAGAACAGCAGCGGGATGGGCTGCTGGTGGTAACCTGGGAATCCCCAGTTAGAAGAATAGATTTCATGTACCAGGGAGCTGGGCATATGAAAGGCTGTCTTAAAGAGCCTGGAGAAGCTTGCGAGATGAGGACAGGAGGCATGAGGGATGACACTGGTGGAGCCACTGAAGGTGGAAAAACGGCAGTCTACAGACTTCAGACTTTAAAAAGTAACTGCAGGCACTCTCCCTCCTTGCTTTGCATCCAATCATGGCAGTTATCTTGCTCACCTGTTCCACAATGGGGTCTCAAGTTGACTTGAAGAATTTTAAGAATAGTCATGTCCAAAAGGTGTCCATTAGTCTGTGTGGTTCCAGCTCAGGCACTTTCTACTAATCAGAGCTAGGACTTTCTAGTAATTAAAACCAAATGTGCTGTCCTGTGAGACAGTGAGCACTCCTGCAAAAAGGCTGTTCAAAGAGGGACCGGGCAGTGGTTTGGTAAAGATTTAATACAGCCAATCACATGGAGCACCCATCATGCGCCAGGCACTGTTCACGTAAGAGGTGACAAAATAGGTCTCGCTCTGGGCTGGTGGATGTTGTAGAGGAGATGGGTGCTTCAGGAAGGAGCTGTACAAGTGGCCTGTGAGTTGCCCCTTGCTTTGATCTTTATGGGGATGGGACTATGGATGAACCCACGGCCTCTGGACAGAAGGTGAACTCCAGTTCATAGGCCCCAACTCTCAAAGCAGTGTACTAAGGCGGGGCAAGGATGGTTCTACATCAACTTGTCTGGTCTCCCAAACTGGACAAACCAGCCAGGTGAGACTCAATCATCTCTCAGAGTGCCTATGTATTGACAGAGACAGCCCCTTGCCAAATGCCCTGCAGATGCTCTAACAAACAGCTGGAGCATTGGTGGTTCAGTGGTAGAATTCTCGCCTGCCACGCGGGAGACCCGGGTTCGATTCCCGGCCAATGCAATGCAGTGTTGCTTTTTCCACCTTTTCCTGGACAGTTTTCCTTACAGAGAGATCCTGCTAGAGGAGCCAGTCAGTCTCTCCAAATACACAAGACCTGCAGCAGCCAAGGGTGCCCACAAATCTGGAACCACACTTCCCTGCTACATGTGCACATGCGAGCTGCTGGGTTCTCCAGAGAAGTACTCTCTATGGCTGTGGAGCCATGAACTTGATGCCTGCACCTTAAGGGTACTCCTGTTGTGCTGTCCTCAGCCTTGGCCAGTCTTCCACAGGAAGCTGGCATGAAACCTGAGAACAGTAACACAGTTTAACACAAGACTAAAGGCAGAATGTGGTGGGAGGACTCAAACATCAGAGGGGAAAAAGTCCCCCAAAGTTTTAATATACTTTTGCTACCAAGAAAGACTCAAGCTTTAGTTTCTGTTGCAAGGTCTGAAGGCAAATCAACTGGACACGCACACGCACACCCTCCTGCTTCCTGCCTTCTCCCTCCTTTTCTGCAGCCTGAGTGCTCCATTCCTGCAACTGTGCTGATGTGGCAGCATCAGAGACTGGCTTCATATTCTATGAATCAACTTACATGCAAGGAGGCACAGGAATGGGGTTAAAGGGAGGTGTGCACACAGCTGCTAACATCTGGGTATTGGTGGTCCAGTGGTAGAATTCTCGCCTGCCACGTGGGAGGCCCGGGTTCGTTTCCCGGCCAATGCAGCAGCAGAGTTTTATTAATCCTAAGAGACTGAATTTGGGCTTTCACACTGCCTAAAGAATTTACAAATCCACTCTGAGAACTGAGAATGACTTGTTTCTAGTTGGATTTCAAATGCCTTTGATGAAAACACTTATTTTCCTAAATTGTGCAAAGATCTAGAACCTGGTCTCCTTGTTCTTGAAGAGTCCAGGATGTGGGATGCACCAAGGCCCGCTAGAGCCGCTGTGCCTCCCCATGCCTGCCCAGACAGCCTGCCCAGGAAGCCAGGACATGTTTCCGCTTGGTACAAGTTACAGCGCCACTAGGAGTGGGAGTGGGGACATCCTCGAGGCTTCAGCAAAGGGTCCAAAGGAAAGCCGACCTGCACAGCAGCGCAGGCCACCCTGAAGCCACCTCCTCTCCTGTCTCCCTGTTTCAGGTCACAAACATTCCCCGAGCAACTGGAGAGGGGACTCCTGTGTGGCAGCCAGTGGATGAGAGCTATTCCCTGCCCCCAAGGAGCTCTCTGCCAGGGTGGGAAGAGGGCTGAAGGAATACTGTACAAACAGAAAAAACACTTGGTCAGAAGAGTATGAGGTGAGCCGGGGCAGGCTGGAAAGAGAATGATCGGTGTCTGCCAGGCAGGGATGTACTAGGGCTCTATAAGGGTCAGCATTGTAGATGGGTTTTGAAGGATGAGTAGGTGTTCGTTCTGGAGCTGGTGAGGATGAGGCTGAACAACGGCTCAGAGGAAAGAGAAGCAGGCATTTGATTTGGCAGAAAAAAAAGCCACAGGTGACAGGGTTGGAAAAGTTGCTCCCAGTCATGCAGCGAGGGACCCTGGACACTTGGCAAAGGGACTGGCATTTAGCCCCGGTGGATGTGAGGAGCTACAGAAGGCCATGAGCTCGCGAGTGGTGTGAACTTGAGGAAGGGCAGTCTGCACCAGCGGGTGGTATGGCTTTGAATGGGGCGTAGCAAGCTTTGAAGCGTACGAGGAAAGTGGCTCTGATGTCGGAGTGACAGCCTGCAAGAGTAACAGGGCCTCCTGAGGGAGGAGACGGGAAAGGTGGATTTCTGTGCTGAGCATTCCCTCCCCACCCCTCATCTTCGCAAAGAGCAAATGTGTCCCTGCTTGGCACCAGCCGGAAGGCCTCCCCCACCAGAGTCCCACTAGGACTCAACTCAGAGCACCCCAGGCCACTACAAAAATGACAGCCCATTCAGGCCCTGTGGCCCCAGAAACTCCAAGTTTCTACTGTCTCCACCCTTGCACTCAAGGGTAGAATATTCTTCATCTCCAGGAAAACAGGCGTCAGGCAGACAAACAATGGCTGGAGGGAACCCATGGAACCTGTTCTCACCAGTATGTCAGCCTGGAGAGCACTGGGTCTGGGGTCAACCCTGGGCCACCGGCAGGAAGAATCTGTTCCACGAATCAAGCCCACCCTCCTTATCTGACACTTGGGGCAAGCAAAACAGGGACAGGACGACCTCTGCAGCCTTCCTGCTGGGCTCCCAGCACAGGCTTCTACTCCCGCCAGGCCTGCCTTCTTACTGCGCCCTGCCTGGCCCACTGCTGCACCTCCCATCTACCCACTCTCTAGAAAAGCTCCTGGTCCCTTCTACATTCTACCCAGCCCTCAAAGTTCACCTCAAATCCAACCCCCCGCCTTTCCTGATGATCTCACCAAGTGAGTACAGAAGGACTCAGGACCCCCCATTCTGTGCCCAGCAACATGCTGTGGAATGTCAGCAGGTAAATTCCTTCTAATTCCTTCTCATGCGTGATTCCTACCTCCACAACTTTTTTTTTTTTCCCTTTGAGACAGAGTCTCGCTCTGTGGCCCAGGCTGGAGTGAAGTGGTGTGATCTCAGCTCACTGCAGCCTCTGCCT